ACCGCTGGCCAATCACACGGGACAGCACTCAGCCCCGCCCCCTGCCTCACCCCTGGCCAATCACACGGGACAGCACTCAGCCCCGCCCCCTGCCTCACCGCTGGCCAATCACATGGGACAGCACTTAGCCCCGCCCTCCCCTCCTGCCTTAGGGACACCAGTGACTATCCTAGTCTCTTGCTTCCAAAATATGAGAACCACAAAGATTCACGGGGAACGAAGGTGGGAGCTCCTGGGGGGAGGGCCCGGTACATGGGGCCTGCCCATCAATGACAAGGGAGCCCCGTGCCTCCAGGTGTGGGCTCGGGGCCGTGGCCTCCCCTCTCCCAGCTGCCACATCTTCCTCGGTCCCACGTGTGCGCCGTCTGCCCGCCCGGGGTACAACATCCACGCCCTGACCGCCCAGGGTAGGGCTCGGGCCGGGGCCTGGGGGTGGGGGGCCCGAAACCTACCTGCCCCGACCTCCGACCTGGGCCACCCGGATGAGCCCGCTCCTGCGCCCCCACACGTGACGCCTTTGAGGACAGGAAGGTCCCAGTGGGAGGGGGGGCGGCAGGGCCAGAGGAAGTGGGTTTGGGTGGCAGACGACCTCCGGTCACAGGCAGCTGTCATCTCAGAGACTAACCTGGGGGGACACGGAGGCCCTCATCGGGGTTTCGGCCCAGTGCCCAGCCATGCCCTCGCTGCCCACTCTGCCCCGTCCTTGAACACACAGGGGAGACGGCTGCTTCCCACCAGGCTGTGATGACCCCACCCCCTGGGAACGCCAGGGGCGCCCCTTCTCTCTGGGGCTGGAGAGAAGGCTGGGGGTCTGGCTTGGGAACATGGGAGCACGTGCCCCCATCCCTCGGCAACGAGGATTTTCTGGGGGACCTCGAGGGTCGTGCTGGGTGCCCAGTGCAGGTCCCCTGAGCGTCACCCACGTGCTGGCAGCTCAGGGTCCCTGCTCCCAGGACTGAGGCCCTGCCCCCCGCAGGCACCAACGAGCTCCGTGTGGACCTGGTGGACTTCCAGGACACCCGCCACTTTGCCAAGTACCAGTCGTTCAGGGTGGGGGGCGAGGCCGAGAAGTACAAGCTGGTCCTGGGCGCCTTTGCAGGGGGCAACGCTGGTGAGTGTCAGCCATACAGTGGGCGGTGGGCAGTGTACATGTGCAGTGGAGGGAGGAGGCCGGGGATCCGCCGACCGAGCGTTCGCTGGCGTGCGCGGCACCGTCGGACTTCACAGCACACGACGCGCAGCTGGACAGCCCGGCCGGACCTGGAGCCGGCACCTCCTGGCGCTGAGTGTAAGCGGCCCCGCTTCTCCCGGCAGGTGACTCCCTGACCCAACACAACAACTCGCTGTTCACCACCAAAGACCGGGACAACGACGGGGCCTTCTCCAACTGCGCTCTGAAATACCAGGGCGCCTGGTGGTACTACAGCTGCCACTGGTCCAACCTGAACGGGCGCTACCTCGGGGGCTCCCATAAGAGCCATGGGAACGGCATCAACTGGCATTCGGGGAAGGGGAGTTACTACAGCTACAAGGTGTCCGAGATGAAGGTGCGGCCCGTGTAGGGCGGTTGGCGGCCTGGAGCATCTCTGAGCAGGTCCGCGCCCCCAGCACGGGCACAGGAGGCCTCCACGCAAAGGCGGAGCTCACCCCGGCCCCGCCCCTGGCCCATCAGGGATCCTCAGCTTTGAGACCCTGACCGACGCCCGCCTTCCTATCCCGCCTGACAGGGTGAGGGTGACCCTGACCTTGTGCACCGCACGCATCCTCAATAAAGCTTCGCCTCCCTCCGCAGCACACGATTCCCGTCACATTTGTGTCGTCCGGTCACTGGTCCTGTGCACGTCTGGGTGCCTGTCCGTGCCGCCCAGGCCCTGGCACTGTAGGAGGTTCTGGTGGAGTCAGACGAGGTGGGCAAAGCAGGGCCCGTGGCGCCTGCGTGGCAGTGCCTCTCCAGGGCACACAGCCGCTTCCTCCCGCCTGTCCCACCAGCAGTCTGTGCTCCCGGTAGGTTTGCGGCCTCGGGCCACGCGGTAGAGCACAGACTCACGTGGTCTGGCCGCAGGCCCCGCCCACACCAGCCAGCCTGGGAGAGAGTGTGTGCCGACCCCCAGCTCCGCTGGGGAGGGCAGTGGTGAATCAGTGAGGAATCCCATGCGAGCCCTGGCTGGGTTTTCCCAGTGGTTAGAGCACCAGCATTGGACTGAAGGGTGGACGGTTTGACTCCAGGTCAAGGGCACGTACCTCAGGTTTGATCCCCAGTCCTGGTCGGGGTGTGTGCAGGAGGCACCCATCGATGTGTCTCTCTCACATCAATGTTTCTCTCTGTTCTGTTCCTCCCTCCCTTCCTCTC